GAGAGGTACACGAATGCTCAATATACAAGCCTTTAGTTCGAATCAATAACTACAAGAAGAATAATGTTGAGGACAAGGCTGAAATAAGGAAGACTATTCTTTGGTATATGGAAATTTGCAGAGTTCTTCTGCAGACCATGAAGTTGATTACGTGATTTTGACTCTTCTCACTAAGGGGGAGATTTTTTAGTGTGAAATGTCTAGTGAGAGGTTGAAAGTTGTTTTGGTTTGTATAGGTGTGAAGTCTGGTACTTCGCAGTGTATGTATTTTGCAAGGCATTGTTGTGTCGTAGTCTAACGTCTAGTCCTTGCATACTTTTTTTAGCGTCTGTATTACTATATAAATAGAGTTAGTATAGAAGTAAAGAGAGGATTTAGGGTGCTTTTGTTCTTATTCTCCCTCTAGAACTTTTGTACTCATTCAGACGAATCAACGAGCCAAACATATATTATTTACGATTGTGTGCTTAATGCATTATGTTATTGATTTCATTTTCTAAACTAGATTCAAACAATTTTCTATTCGATGGGGTGCAAAGTTTTTCATGGAATGACTATAATGGTTTGAATCTTGTAGACACACTTGCATATGGGATTGATGCCTTATGACATGAAAAAGAGAGAGAGATAGAGAGAGAGAGAGAGAGAAAGAAAGAAATAGAGAGAGAGAGAAAAAAAGATTTTAGCACCTCTATATATAGTGGGTTGCATACCACTTGTAGATTGTGTTTGAGAGATGTAGTTCATTATGACTAGTGAGTGGGATATTTACATAGAGCTAAATCTTGATGCCTTTGTATACTCATTCCTATGATCTAATACATATTTTAGCACCCGAATCGTCATGTTCTTTATGTTCTTTTAATTTCATATGCTAAATCAAATGCTCATAATTCACTACATTTGGTATCAGAGCGGGTCTTCAAATATCAAAGCAATTTTTGAAGAAACGATTCTCGATTTGGTAACATACAACACAACTAGAACGTTTATGGTGAGTCTTTCAATGATCTCTCAAAACCTCTTTGATTCGTGCTTGTGTTATTGAGTTTTTGATCATTTTCACTCATTGGATCGATTTTTTTGAAAAACCCATTTGTTATGATCCAAGAATTTTTTTCATTGATCAAGTACAATCCAATCCTATTTTCTTATGTTTGATTCAATTCTCAACTTCCAATTGTTCATTTGAATCAAGATTTAGCCCAAAATAATTTTAGACCCATTACTGTTCATTATTGGTTTTTAAGTCCAAAAATCCATTTTGTTTAAGATCCAATATCACATATATGTTACTATTCATTGTAACATTTGATCTAGTCCATTTCATTGAGTAGTTATTGTTCATCATTTATCTTTGGTCAAGATCGTTATTCGCATAAAACTTTTATTGCTTCGAGTTCTCATTAGTGTTCAGCGTTTGAAGATCGTTGATAAATTTCTCGGTCTTAGCCGACTCTTTTGTTCTAGTTTGTTGGTCAATTTGTTCCTGCTTCCTGTTTTTGTTTTGTGAGTCGATTGCGTATGATGTGTTTGATTACGATTTGATTTTGATCAAATTGAAATTGAAAATTGTCGATCAATACTTTGGTTTTGAAGAACTTGATCAAGACTAGTTGAATATGATGAAGAACAGTTAAATATTCTTGGTTTGATTTGAAAAACTATGTGAGAATTGTGATTTTTGTGTTTGTTGACTTTAAGATTGAATCAGGTGTATCAATCAACATTCAAAAGTCGACATTGACTATGATTGAAAAGTCAATGTCAACTTTTGAATGTTGATTGATACACCTGATGCAACTAGTGTTACAATGCGATTTTAAAGGTGGATGTATGTTCAAATTCACAGGAAATGAAGTATTGAAATCGAATATACTGGATATGGTGTTGTTCTAGGTTCGTTCAAGTCAAAATCTTCTTCGTCTGTTTATTGACCTAATTGTTCTTATCTGATATTGAGTTGAGTTCAAATCGAAATTGGATTCGTGATTAAGGGTCGAACAATCGTTGTTTGGGTTAGGAATCCAAAGTCATGAGGTCAATATTTATTTTGACTAATGAAGTCTTGGAGTATAACGGAAGTTGATTTTGATGTGTATAGGAAGAATGTGAAATTGATTAAAGATGGTGTTCAGTTCGCATATGTGAATGAATTGAAGATTTTGGTTTGAGGTGAATTCTTGGAGTCAAACTTATTTTGACTGATTTTGGTGTTGAGAACGAAGGTCGATTGACTTGAGGTTGAATGAGAAGGTTTGGAGTCGAGATATGTTCACTGATGTTGAAATCAGCTTCGACGTATGGTGCATCATATCCTTGGATGCTTGTATGGTATTGTTCAATGTACACTTGATATTTTCGACATGCGAAAGTCCAACTGTTTGGGAAGCCAATGAGAGTTCGCATATGAAGTCGTTTTGGGAATGAACAAATATTCACGTGTTTTTTCTATTTCAACACTTTTTTTTTTGTTTTTTTTTTTTTTTAATTTGTTCCGTTTTTTTAAATGTGCATAACTCATTCATATGACGTCGAAATTACTTTATTTTTTCTCAGGATTTAATTTGGTGTTTGTACTTCATTTTAGACTATGCAAACACATACTTTGGTTAGATATTGAATCAGTTGTAGGCCCCGAAAATGGATATAAAAATGATTCTGATGAATAGAAGTGGATATGGATTTAGTGTTTTGTGGTCTACACATAGAAAATGAAATGAACGTAAAAAAGAAAGCGGGTCTTGACTAAAGGGTTAATGAACTAGAAAGGTAACGAACTTTGGTATTCGTTTACATTAAATCATGTTTTTTATATACATTTGACTATTGAACTTGTTTGACATGTTCAAAATAAGGTAATATGATTGAGAATTAGCGGTAACACTACCCTATTATGAACAGGTCGAACAATTTTACTGGTCAAATTTGTACGAAAAAAACAAGGTTACCTAAATAGGGACAAAAACCAAAGTTCTTTACCCGTTTTGGTAATATTTGGTTCTTTATGTTAAGTGTAAGTAGTCATAAGACCCATATTGGCTTGTTCAGTCTTTGAGTAGGAGGTGATGGCCAGGTCTTAGGCCAACCCAATTTAGGCATAACTAGTTAGGGGTTAGGTTGTATACGCTTAAGGGGCTACATTGTATGTGCTTTAAAGACCTAGCAACACAACCTAGCTTATCACTTGCCGAAATTGAACTGGGTTAGACCAAGCCAAACCTAATTGTTCATTGACTGTCAGAGCCTGATCCCAAAGCATAGTCCATGAGACGGTTATTGTCCAATATTACCAAAACATGTAAGAAACTTTGGTTTTTGTCCATATTTATGTAACCATGTTTTTTTTTGTACACATTTGACTAATAAACTTGTTTGACTTGTTCATAATATGATAATATTACCGCAATTACCAATCATATTACCTTATTTTGAACAGATCAAAAAAGTTCAATGGTTAAATATGAACGAAAAAACACATGGTTACCTAAATGTAGACAAAAACCAAAGTTAGTTATCTTTCTAGGTCATTAACTCAATCTCTTTGGTCTGCACATTAAAAAGGAAATTAAGAGTAAAAAAGTCTCTCTATACGTGTATAAATAGTAATTTGTACTCATAAACGCAATTTGGTTATATATATATATATATATATATATATATATATATATATATATAATATATATATATATATATGAAAACAAAAAAATCATTAAAATCATAAAAATACATAAAAAAAACTTAGAGATCACAAATCTTTTTTTTTTACTTTATATTCTTTAAAATCGCACCTTTTTATAAAAATTCGTTGATTTAAAAAAGAAAACCAAAAAAATATATAAAATAAAAAAAATAAAATAAAATAAAAAATAATTTTTTTTTCAGTGAATTTATAAAAAAAAAACTACGATTTTTAAGAATATAAAATCAAAAAAATATTTGTGATCTCTATGTATTTTTTTATGTATTTCTATTATCTTTAGGGTTTTTTTTGATTTCGTCAATAAATGTTTTTTTTTGTTTTGTTTGAATTTACTCCACATTAACATACTTCAGTCAATTATTATTTATCTAAATATAATATTAAGCAGATAAAACTGTAAAATTGGTCCCTGCGGTATTTAAAAACTATGGATAAGATCTAAAAAGTTTCCAACTCAAAATCAATGTTTCTTTTGGTTTTGGTTTTAAAAAGTTGAAAGGATTATTTTACCTTTATTGTTTTTTTTTATATTTTAATTTATTTCTTTTATATTTATTAGTTTAAAAAAAAAAAAAGAAAAAAAAAATACCCTACCCCACACCCTTCATCCGTACCCTTCCCTTCTTTCTCCCTCTATCTCTTTGACAATTTAACTTTCTTATCTATCTTTGACTATTTCTTCTTTTCTCTGATGAGTTCGTTCAAGCTACCTTGAAGCAGAGCTCCAGGTCCGACACTCCAGCACTGACAAGGGTGGGATGAAGTTGGGTTCGATTCTTTGAGGCAAATAAACCTTGTCTCCCTCATCTTATGCTTTGCTTACTGTGCTTGCACAACTGTTGGCTCCATCTACATTGGTAGGAAACCCTAAACCTTAACCAGGTATCTCATTTTATTTGCTTCTCGTGTTCTCCATTGATGTTTTCAGGGGATTCAAAGAAAGCACTTCTAAAGTGCTATTCCTTGATCGGAGTTGGAATAAACCGAGTTTTTGGATTTTTCAATGCGATTTCGATCATCTGTACGACTTACGAAAACGGAATCATCCCGGAAATACATGTATTTGTTTGTATATTCCTTTTTTATATATATGCTTCTCATCAACCCCTACAATTTCAACACTAATAGTTCATATTTTATGTTAGAACAGGCGACAATAGCAGCGCCGGAGAAGGGCAAAATGTTCAAAGGGCTACTGTTGTGTTATACGGTTGTGATCTCAAACTATTTCAGCGTTGGGATTTCTGGGTATTGGGCATTCCGTAACAAAGTATAGAGCTTTGTTCTTCAAAATTTCATGATGGGTTCAAACCCATTGTTTCCCAAATGGATTCTTCTTATGACAAACTCCTTCACTGTTTTGCAAGTTGCATCTTGTACATTGGTAAGTTCTCCATTAGACCTATTGTTATGCTACAATCACTTGTACTTTTCAACAAAAAGTTAGATCTTAACAACTTCTGTTGATGCAGGTTTACTTGCAACCATTAAACGTGGTTTTTGAACGTAAATTTGCAGATCTTGGGAAGGGTCAACTTTCTGTTAGAAACTTTGTGCCTCAATTGATATCAAGATACTTATCTGTAATTATTACGACAACTTTGGATGCAATGTTTCCGTTTTTTGGAGATATAATGGCATTGTTTGGAAGCATTTGGATGCATACTTTGGATTTCATTTTGCCTATGCTGTTTTATAACTTGATGTTTAAACCATCCAAATTAACAAGGGGTAGTTTTTTAGGCGAATACTATGATTGGTGTTGCATCACACATGGCCAACAACCGGAGGTGGGAGAGTTCACCAGAGAAGATGAAATGGTTGGTGTTCAGAGAGAGAGAGAGAGAGAGAGAGTGGATGGGTGGAGTTATGGGTAGGAAAAGCATAATTGCTTTTTTATTAATATTTATAAAATAGAAAATGTTAAAAAAATACAAAAAAAACAAATTAAAAGGCAAAACAGTCAATTCAAGTGCTCCATGGATTAAAGCTACAAAATTTTCTTAATTTTAGGACCAAAACCAAAGGAAAACATTGATTTTGGATCTTCATGCAAGTTGAAAACTTTTTGGACATTATCTATAATTTTTTGAATACCACAGGATCAATTTTACAATTTTATCTATTAAACAACTTAATAATAGTTAATGAGGTGATAATAAATATATTCTACAATTAATATTTTAATGTGTAGTTTTATCTATATAAAATATTTTAACCTAATGGGTTAAAAAAAATTCGGATCATATGCCAAATTTGAACATTAGAATGACAAAAATCATTTATAAGTAAACATTTTAATTCAATTAAATTATTCTGAACAAAATAAGAATTAAACATATAAATAAGTTTTAAGATTTAATCCGTTGCTTTCTTTATAAGCGAAATCTTAATCTTAATTTTGGAAAGCTTTTATAGAGTAATATTTAACCGTTAGAAGTTGAAAGGGTTGGCTTAATATTCTCGCTATTTATACGTTCTTCTTCAGGTGTCCCGCTCCCAAAAACACACAAACACATATAGCGATTACAGTGGCTCTGCCATCCTTCGCCGGAGATCTAAAACCGATGGAAATCGAAAGGGTTGCTTTCTTCAGTCATTCTGCTCTCAACAAATCTAATTAAAATATTCGGAGATCCATGGCGATCTGTGTAATTCCATTGCACAAGACCAAAACACCCCAACCTTCGCAGTAGACTCTCATCCACCTCTCTAGTCCAAGAAATTATCAAGATCGTTGTAAGTTTTCTCTAGGGTTTTTTGGTGATTCAGATATTATAACTTTCTTGTAAAATTAAAATTGATGTTTGAGTAAGAAAGAATCAAAGGTTAGTTGCTGTTTTATTTATTTATTTATTTACTTATTTATTTATTCTCGTTGTGGTTTCTAGTATTACCCTGCATTCCTCTTCATCTTTTCGTTGACGTTTTTGTTTGTAAACTCTGATTTTGTCCGTTAAACTAAATGCACCAGACCCATTACAACTTAAAAAAGAAACTCCATTTTGTTGATCTTTTCGTTGGTTTTTTTTTCTCTTCTTCATCTTTTTATTCTTATAGTTTTTTATTCTCTAATTTAGGGTTTTTCTGTTATCCAGACGTGATTTTTCTTATGTACAAATAAAGTTAATGTATGGAAAATAAAACTAATTTTATCAACACATGGATTGATTCTAGATTTGTAAAATGAGTACGAACCTTGGCTACTTATTATGATAACTGCCCCATGTTATATATATATATATAATCTTATGAAGATTTGCAAAATTAATATAATGTAACACACTCTTCTTGTAGATGTAGTTCTAGGTGATTCTGGTGACATAATATTGATTTCATGGGTAAATTTGAAACAATTAGTTTAAAGAAAGGAATTTTCCATGAAAGATTTATTTAACAATTGTTAAATTGGACTGATTGGGTGCCAGTGCTTGAGGGGCGGATTGATCATAATATTGTGGGTGTGGCTATTGCAATGGATTTGTTGGATCTTGTACAAAAAAGTAAGATGGATTTTGAATCATTTTATGTTTGTTTATTAGTTAAGATTATAGAATTAATCTTGAAACTTTGAAGGGTGATATGCTGTGGTGAGAGAGCATGTATGTTTTTGTTCCTAGTAAGAGCTGATTAAAAAAACTGGTCAATTGGGTTCAAATTCGTTTGTTTCTATTGTGTTTTAAATCCTGGTATAGTTGACTAAATATATATTTTGATTGTTAATTTTTATATTTTTTATGAAGATCTTGAATATTTTTTATGTTAACAGGTTGGGATCATTACAAGTAAATCCCTGCATGAGGTCCAGTTGGAGTAGTGAGACTCCTAACAACCCAACGATGTGAAGAGGAACCTTTAAATGTCAGATGATTAGGGGCATACATGTCATTTCACTACCACTCCAATGGAAGGATGTTCGTATAGGGATACTGAGAGGAATCTTTTTCCTCACTATCTTGACTTAGCCCTCATGAATCCAATTTGACTTCTGGTATTATATATATATTTTTATAAATTGCTTTATCATGTTTTAACATTTAGTTTTAAAATTGAATTGTGTTTTATATAGAGCTTCAGGGTGGTTGGAGAAAGAGCCAAATATGACTGTTAGACCCCAAGTATTTTTATGATCTTGAAGAAAATGCAGAAATTGGGCAAAATGGGTACCAAAAAAGTTAAGGTAATTTGAAATAAAATTTGCTCGGTTTTGATAATTTGTATAGATTATAAACATAATTATGGTTGTGTTTTTTTTCCAGCAAAGAAAGAACAACACAAGAAAGAAAAGGTATTTTGGCAGCTTATTATGGAAAGCCTTTCAACTGTTTTTCTAAAAAGGAAGGAGACAAGAGAAACGTGTTCCCATTGTAAATGCTAAGCAGCTGTGATTAATGTACTTTTGATCACAGATAGAATTGATATGATTTGATCATGTGAATTTTGTTACTGTTTGCTATATTTATTTGGATCATGGTTATATATGTATTTTAATTGTTTAAGCTATTGTAGCTAAGTGTCTAACATTCATTCAGGCTTTATGTTTAGGGAATGTATAAATATGAGCACTGGGATAATTCCATGTTTTCCAACATTCAGATAAATCGATGTTTTGAGGCACTCGAATAAAAGTAAGATGAACAAATAAATGATGGATGATTGATTTAAGAAAAAATCATATTACATAATACATTATATTCAATCACTAATGCTTTTGTATTTCATATAAGCATAGGGAATGAATGCTCTTGCAAGTTTTCAATTCGGTTTCAAGAAAGTTATCAATTTGTTGATACCAATTACCTCAATAAGAAGTTTCTACCAGCAAAGCAAAGACACAGCACAACAAAGAAAAGAAAAGAAAAGGTATTTTTCCAGTTTATTATGACAGGTATTTTCATTTATATTCTGAAAAAGAAGAAGATGATGAAACCTTTTTCCATTGTAGATGCCAGGTCATCAGATTTACGTGTTTTTGATTGATAGATGTGATGATTATTTGAGCAGAGATCAATCAGTTGTCAAAATCTTGAGACTCTGAAATCAAAGGTCCAATCTATCACTCATCTTACAGTTTCCTTGTTTAATTGTTGTAATCATAACTAAGATAAGGAAATCTATGTTGATCCTAAATACATTTCAATTCATCTTGTGGTGGATCCATGGTTGTTGAAAATTGAAATGGATTTTACACCTGTTAGTTGACACCAAGACCTACTATTTATTTTCATAGTAATAGAATTTGCATCTTTTTTATTATTTTTCATTACCCTTATCACCTCTTATTATATTGATGGTTGTAAGACTTTATAACCTTAATTATATAATATGATGATGATGATGATGATGATGTTGATGATGATATGGTGGTATACTTTTACTTTTGAGTTCAAATGAATACATGAGGGATTTTTATTGATTGATGATTACATAAGATGTTAAATTTTTTATGCATTCTGAATATTATTCCTTAATTAGGTTGTCAAGTGTGGTCTGTAGCAGGATTACAGACTTGATGTATGTCAAACTAATGATGAGGGGTATCCGTGTCATTTCATTCCCACTCTAATGGAAGGATGCTTGAGAGGAGACTCATTATTTTCATCTTGTCTTCCTTTCCCTTATTAGTTCAATCAGGAGGATATTTGGGAACTAACTTTTGTTTCTTGTTGGTCTTGGCTACACATATCCAAAATGCGATTGTATTTCTTTTATTACAATTTAGGATAGTTAAGTTATTAAAAAAATAATATTCATTAAATCCTACTAATTGATGGAGTGAGATTACCATGTGATAATTTTCTAATCATCAATTAATCTTCCTCTGCAGTGCAGGTAAATAAAGTGTGTAATTATGGGTTGAAGTTTTTGATTGAAATAGGGCTTCCAACATTCGAATTTTAAATTTGCAGGGTTTCCAACTGATTGGTAGAAGCATCCTCTTCATCTTTTTGTTGATGGGGTTCTTGGTCTGCATCTTTTCATTTGGTGTTTTTCTACTTCATCTTTTCATTCGTATAGTTTTTATTTCTTTACTCCAGGGTTTTTTCTGTTATTCAGCATGATTTTTCTTATGTAAACTACCCCATGTTATATATATAATCTTATGAAGATTTGTAAAATTAATATCATGTAATACATCCTGTGTTCTGACTATCTGATAGGATAGCTTTTGGTCTTAATCAACAACAACAACATGAAATGATGTCGATTCAGATTCAACAGGTTTGATTTTTTCAACAACTAGTTTTTAATATACCAGATATGATTTTTTTTTTCATGAAACTTCTCCATAATCTGTTTGAAATATGGTCATCTGAGAAAATTGCTCTCTAGAATTGCGATCGATCTAGAGTTCTGTAAGTCATCAAAATAATTCATCTCACCCCTCTATTTTGTCGTTTTGATTGTGATTCTGCTCTTCTAATTAAGAAAAGCCGTTTGAGTTATGGTTTTAAAATATCTTGAATCATTTCAAATTTTGAGTTTTTATCAGAAGAAAATAAAATTGGTTTTAGTGAGTTTGCTTGTCAGATCAGTCAATAACTGAAACATGTTTAAAATATGCAAATACTAGGGGTTATGATCAGTAAGTAACTGGATTAGATTTTAAAATTTTTGAGTATTCATTTTATGTTTGAGAAAATAAATATCCTCCTACTTTTGTTCCTACAAATCATCCTACCCAATTAAATGATGACATATGTCATTTTAATATACTAAAATATCATTAATATACTACTTTATGTTAGTGTTAGAATTTTGTGAAAGAAGGGAACAAGGGAGGGGAGGGAGCCCTTGGTGACATTAGAAAATGAAAAAGGAAAGTCCCAACATGCTTTATTATATACTTTATACTAATAAAGTTAGCTTTTAATATAATTAATGTCTCAAGTATTAAATAGGTATGGCCTTTAATTGTTTTATATCCAGGTTGAAGAGCAGTAGCTTTTCTTTCAATGGGAATGCTTAAAGTGGTTGTTGGTTTAAAAGGGAAAAGGTTAGCCATTTATTTCACTATTTAACTTAAATACTTTAAAATTTCATTTAAGTTAATGATTTTGCACCATTGACAGAAGATGAACTGAAGCTGATGTTGAGGTTTGAAGAGTTGCAGAGTTGATTCGGGCTATTGAATAAGAAGAAGAGCAAGATGCATAAACTTCATGTCACATTTTTTTTCCAAGTTTCAGTATTTCTTGAAAATATGTTGGAGATAAAAGGCACCCATTTGAAAGAGGTTATGAGTTACCTTTTTAAAAATTTATCACTTATTTTGCAAATGGTGTGTGTAAATATCACATGTTGAGGTGCATACATATCATTTCATTGCCACTCTAATGGAAGAAATCTTTTTTCTTACTATCTTGACTTGGCCCCCATGAATCCAATTTGACTCCTGGTATTATATATTTTTATTTATATATCGCTTTTATCAACTTTTTAACATTTACTTTTAAAATTGAATTGTATTTTTATTTATATAGCGCTTTATCAACTTTTTAACATTTACTTTTAAAAATGAAAGGTGTTTTATATACAGCTTCAGGGTGGTTGGAGAAAGAGTCAAATAGGACTGTTAGGCACAAGGATTTTTATGATTTTGAAGAAATGGGGCAAAATGGGTACCAAAAAGCTTGGTAAAATGAAATAAAAGTTGATCGGTTTTGATAATTTGTATAGATTATAAACAACATAAATAGGGTTCTCCAACAAAGAAAGACACAACACTACTACACTAGAAAGAAAAGGTATTTTGGCAGTTTATTGAAGCAAATCTATTCTATGAAACATGCAAATAAAAATGGGTATCTTATATAGGAAAAATATCAATAGAAAGCATTTGTCAACACCAACTTCATGGTAGAGTGGTTTTTGTTATAAAGTTAGATGTGGTAAGCCATTTATTTGTCAACACTAGATTCATGTAACATTAGCAACATATAGAAAGTTGTATGATTTTCTTTTTTCTTGCTGATGCAGGCAGAAACCACTTGCAATTATGGCGAGTATGATGTTTTGTGTAGGCTTTTTCTCTAGCAAAGCAAAGACACATCACAACAAAGAAAAGAAAAGAAAAGGTATTTTTCCAGTTTAGTTTATTAATTTATGGCAAGTCTTTTCATTCATTTGTTTTCTGAAAAAGAAGAAGAAGATAATGATGAAACATTTTTCCATTGTAGATGCCAGGTCATCAGATTTATGTGTTTTTGATTGATGGCTGTGATGATTATTTGAGCAACGATCAATCAGTTGTCAATTCTTGTGACTCTGAAAGCAAAGGTCCAATCTATCACTCATCTTACAGTTTCCCTATTTAATTGTTGGTATTTTGTTCAATTCAATTTGTTTAGGCCAACTTCTTATATGATAACATTATGACTATAAATTTAGCAAGGTGGAATTCAGGGCTTAGAAAACTTTACTAGATTTTTTTAGATACATATATTATTACAGTTGAGTGAGATCTTCCTTAAAGGATTAAAAGTAGTTAGATGTATGAGATTGTTGTTGATAAATCTCAACCTGCAAAATCACAAAGTTCCTCTCTGTTATATGTATATGAATTTACTTCGTACATTTGGCTTTTACCAAGGATTTGGCTTCTACCAATCTTGTTAAAGCATGCATATTTGACTTGTATGAAGTTATCAACTATATTCCATTATCAGTATAACTCAAAATGCAATTGAAGTAGTGAAGAATGTTGATGAGACCATACAACATATACAAAACACTTATGGAATGGATAATAATTTAAAATTTAAAATTTTCTTTCTTTTTTGGGGCTTTTTGTAACTTTTTTTTTTCTATTTCCCCACACTGAGTGCATTGTTACAGAGGGCCACAAAGCTATATTCTATGTAAGGTCTTTGTAATGTTTTTTGTCCCTGTCCCAAGAAATACGAAAATAGTTTTGGGACCAAATTTGCAAAGTTTTGCTCTACTCGGGGACCAAAAATAGTCATTTTACTTGGAATAGAGACCAAAAATGTTACAAGAACCTCTAATGAGGACCAAAACTGTAAGATGACCAAATTTTCAAAAATCAGCTATAGTGAGCGACCAAAAGTTGCAACTTTATGTAAAATCAAAAGTAAGCATTCTATTGATTATGCATTTTTCCCTTTTATCAGTGAAGTAGTTTTTCACAATGCAAGCACGCTATTTTTGGTTAGCAGGTTGGAATTAGTAGAAGCAAAGTCCTTGTGCACGAGGTCCAGTTGGTAAATATATGAATAATTCAAATATCACATGATAAGATGAGGGGCATACTTGTAATTTCATTGCCACTTTTTATGAAAGGATGGTTGTACATGGTACGTACTAACAGGTATCTCCCCTCTCTTCTTCTCTTGTATATGTAGTCAGTCAGTCCTTCCTGTAAATT